GAACACAGGACTTAACCTGTCCAGTGAATCGACTGTTTTTAAAAATGTAGTGGATTTATGTAATTTCACAGAAAAAGTGCCCTCTGGGAGTTTTAAAGGTGAAATATATATTGATAAGGAAAGTAGCTCAAGGTAAGCATTCACTTGGCACTGTAGTGACCCCAGAAAGAGCCACAAAGGGCTTGAGGCTTTCCTCAGCTCCGTCCCACATGAGATGTACTGGGAGAAGAGTACAGCCTGCCTTCCCTTCTCTGTGCACTTGTCCTGTTCTGCAACGGCTGCTGGCTGGCTGTACAAGATGTGTGTGCGCGCGCGCGCGAGCTTCTTGTGATCCATGTTTCTCTGCAAGGGCTGGACACAAAGGAATACCGACCTGCAAGGAATCACTTAATTGAGGCCTGTCTCCCTGCAGTCAGTTCTAAATTTTTAGTTAGTGATTAAACTGCAGATGAATTATAGTGTATATGGCATACGGGTATAGAAAGGCTCATTAATTCTGGCAGTAATCAGTCTTGTTTGGGTCTACAATGCAGAACCAGTTGTGCTGAGGGTTCTAGAAGAATAATCTCTTTATTGCAATGAATATTAAAACAGCTGGTTGTTAATAAAATGATTGTCTATACTGTATCTCTAAGAAAAAAATTAATTCAAGGAGATGAATCAGAGCTGTTGGAAAAATCTTCAGCATGCCTTTGGCATGTGCTAGATAAAATTTCTTGTCATTTAAGACACAGCACAGTTGTTTAACAGAAATTTAAGAGTCTTTGTATAAACACCATTCCTATTATAATATCAGTTTTGCTGAAATGTTTAAAAATGCAACAATGGCACAACTTAAAAATATCAAAAGTAATTCCCAGTATGCCTTTGTCTTTTTAAAATAATTATTAAAACCCGACGGTCTTTTGAAGTATTTACACCTAAACAACCAGCCAGCTTTGATCCATGTCTTATAATTGTTATTAGAAAATCAAGAGTAGTAAGACTACTGCAGTGACTAGCCAAAATAATCCCAAAAAGTTACAGCATGCAACAAGAACTGCCTTAGGCTTTGGCTTCAGAGACTTCATGGTCTCAGCCCAGTCTCATAAAATGGCCTGGCATACCAGAACTCCTACAGACTGCACCAAACAGACTTTCGTCTCCTTCACATTTGTGTAATACTCACAGGAGAAGTTCCCCATATGACAGGTTTAACAGGACTAGGGCACATGGATTTAATTCAGGAGTATGGCCAAACTTTTGGATTTTGTGATTTTTGTGATTTGCCTGTGAAGTCACACTAAACTGAGTGGCTTGCTGAAACTCTGGCTGCTTGAGCCAGTGATTACTTGAAACTCTTAGCTTTCATTGGAGAAAACTGGTATTTTCTAAGGACCTTTGTTGTCCAGAAATCACAAAGGCGCAAAACCCAGCAGGTAAATCAAAATACAGTTTTTTAAGATCTTCTGTATTTTTAAGCTAATCTTACATGGTTTTGAGGGGTGAGATTGTTTACTGCAGAATTTTTATGTTGATGGGTGGCACCGCAATTCAGACTGCACTATTATAGTGTTTAAATCAACCTGACCTATTATGAAAAAAACATGGCAAGGGAACAAATACCCTTTTAAGTTACGCTAACTGAGGGGGTGGCAACCTTTGGCGTAGGAGCAGTAAAAGAAAGCTGAGAGCATTTGGGATCAGCAGCCCCTTCATTTTACCCAGCTGCAACCAGAGCAGCATGACTACAACCTTTCTTCCATGGTCTGCATTTCTGTTATTTGCTTCTGTCAGTTCAAAATCTCCACCATACTTAACGTTGTATTTTTCACAGGCAAGTTTGAAACATGGAGTTGATTTGAATCAGCTGTCTCTGTGTATGTTGGCAAGTAGTGCAGCCTAATAGGAATGGTTCTGTAGAGCAAAACAGTTGGTGCTGAGGGCCTGACATTCACATCATATGCATTTGGGGGGGGTCTGTTTTGGAGTAGCTGTAAATCGTAGTTTAGGTGCTCTCTGGGTGTGTATCTTCCATTTAACTTCATCAGAAAGATACCCATTTTGTACAACCTAGGACTGCTCTACAGTGTGAATCGCAGCATAGTGAAATGGGGCTGATTTGAAGGACAAATGTAGTCCCACTGTGAACTAAAACACTAATGTAGACACAGCCGTTATCTCTGCAAACAGCCTAGCACAGTCCCATCCCACATTTCATCCTTTCAAGGGATGAAAGATGTCATAGATGGCGTCCGCCACACTCAGTTCTAACAATTTAAAAGGTAAGCATCTGCTGCCAGCTGAGACTTGATTCCCTCTCTTGTAAATGAAGAAAGAGATGCCCCTGAGGAATTCTTTCCACCTATTAATAGATGTTAGAAGACTATATATTAGAGGACATTAATAGATGTGAAGACTGCACTCTAGAGGTGCTGCCATGTACTGTAAAGAGAGGCTAGAAAGACACCTTACACAACATGCCTACCTTGACAGTTAAAGCTGATGAGCAGAATCCCAT